GCACGGGAGGTTAATAAGAGTTTCATTGGGGATAAGATTGAGAGCCGAGCATGTGTCTTTTAAAGTGACACTTTGGTGACATCACAATGGATCGGTCCATGGTTGGACCATTTTGGCCGGGTCTTGTTAAAAAAGAAAAAATAGGTATAGGCTCACAACCATATTATATATATATATATATATATATATATATATATGTATGTATGTATGTATGTATATGTATGTATATATATGTATGTATATGTATGTATATATATGTATGTATGTATATAAATATGTATATATATATATATGTATGTATATATATATATATCTATATTATATTAATAAACATTTAGACCAAAGTCTTAATTAAAAGTCTTAAAGTATAAAGTACTATCAATTTATGCAAGAGATTCAAAAATCTCTTAAGTACGAATTATTATGCATAATGTCAAATGCTTAAAACATATCATTTGTTTGGTCAAAGTTTCAAATTTAAGTAAGTCATATTTACATGAAAAAAGTATGTTTGGTTTTCCCAAAATTGTTTGACACTTTGTTTGTTTCTTATTTTGAACCCAAGCATTAAAATGATAGTACACTAGGGATTTTACTAGCATGTCCTTGCATTAAAATGATAGTACACTTTGTTTCTTATTTTGAACCCAAGCATATGAGAGCTGAGATTGAATCTCACGGTTACCACAAACTAATCAGTTCTCTCTTAAATGAGCCCCTGTATGTATGTATATATATATATATTATTATATATATATATGTGTATATATATGTATATATATATAGGGGCAGGTTCAAATGCGAACCGTCCAATTCTTAAAAACCGTGTGAACCAAATTCGACCAATCAGAAAATTCCATTTATTTTCAATTAAATTTAAATAATAAGGGTGTTTATGTCATTCTGTACATTTATGTAATAAATATGGAAGTTATTCATTCCTATTAATTAAGGAAATAAATAAAAAAAACCGTAAAATAAAGGAAATGTTTCACTCATTTAGGATATTACATAATTAAAATATTGATTTTAATATTTTGTATTCATTGAATCATGTTTCACTTTATGAAGATTTACGGCAATAATAAGATGAAATCGTGGTTTCCTGCTGTGAGTGAAGTAAAAAAAAACAAATATTCAAGAGAATAAAATAACATGAAGAGGTTTCATGAATGA